TTTTAAGGTCTCGCTCTGTCACCCAAGCTGGAGTGCAGCAGCATGATCACGACTCACGGGTCTTAAGTGATCCTCCCACTGAAGAGTCCCAAATAATTGTGAATGCAGGTGTGTGCCACCATGCCTAGCTAATTTTTGTATTTTTAGTAGAGATGGGATTTCGCCATGTTTCCCAGGCTGGTCTTGAACTCCTGGGCTCAGGCAATCTGCCCACCTTGGCTTCCCAAAGTGCTGGGATTACAGGTGTGAGCCATTGCACATGTTTTCAAAATTTTAAAAATAAAAATAAAATTTAAAAACACCATAAAGAATGCATAAAAGTATACATAAGTATTTTATTAATATGTATTACCCTTTATGAAGTGAAACAGTGGGACTCCTGAGACAGACTCATTCTCCAGATCTTTAAGGTAAAGCATATGCCAGTGTAAGCATATGCCAGTGTAAGTATAACCAGTATGTTCTGTGACCTCGCCATTGGCTAATGAGCCAAGAGCATCATGTTTACACAGTTCTACAGACTGGCCCAATCTACTTTCTTACCAAGCAGTCTTGCCTTTTTCTGTGTCTCCCTAATCTTGCTAACCTCTGATTCACCAACCACTATTACTATGCCACCTAGGATTTGCTGTCTCCCTCATTTCTTTTCTTTTTCATTTTTAAGATAGGGTTTCACTCTATTGCTCAAGCTGGAGGACAGTAGCTCCATTATGGCTCTCTGCAGCCTCGACCTCCCTGGCTCAAGGTATCCACCTGCCTCAGCCTCCCAAGTAGCTGGTACTACAGGTGCATGACACCACACCCAGCTAATTTTTTTTTTTGGTAGAGATGGGGTTTTACCATTTTGCCTAGGCTAGTCTTGAACTCCTGGACTTAAGCAACCTTCCTAACTCAGCCTCCCACAGTGCTGAAATTACACATGTGAGCCACTGGGTCTGGCCCCATTACCTTTCTTAACCTCTATCATCAAATCACATTTTTTTCTGCCTCTCCATTCCTAACCTCTGTGAGCACAGAACATGCCTCTCCATTCTTATTGCTACAAATCAGAAACTCATACCTGAACTCCTGATGACCTTTTTATCTTCAGTTTCTACCACCACTAAATATTAATGTCAGTGCCAGGCACGATGGCTCACATCTGTAATCTCAGCACTTTGGGAGGCTGATGTGGGCAGATCACCTGAGTTTGGGAATTCGAGACCAGCCTGCCCAATATGGTGAAATCCCGTCTCTACTAAAAACACAAAAATTAACCAGGCTCAGGCATGGTGGTGCATGTCCGTAATGGCAGCTACTCAGGAGGCTGAGGCAGGAGAATCACTTGAATTCGGAGGCAGAGGTTGCAGTGAGCTAAGATCACACTACTGGACTCCAGCCTGGGCAACAGAGGGAGACTCCATCTCAAAAAAAAAAAAGTCAGTTCCTTTTCCTAAAGTGTATTTGCACTTCTTCTCAAGCACTGATTTCAGTCTTACCTTTTTTGTAAAACCTTCTAAGATTCCAACTCATATCCATCTTTCCCTTCCTTAAACACTTAAAAGTATAAACAGCTCAATCTGTCTAATCATAAAAAAATGGCAGCAAACAAAACATTGTATTGGAATAAGCTTTGTGACTTAACAAAAAAGGTTTTTTATGGTGTAGTCTATGTCTTTGAATAATGCTGAGTACTTATGTATAAGACTCTTCAAGTATTATCTTTAGTTCCTTGACAACTAGATGTAATTTTGTGTAGTTTTATCCATTTTACAGATGGGGACACAGGCACAACAGGTTAAGTGTGCTCAAAGTTACACAAATCAAAATCCAGACAGTTCTTGAGTCAGTGTTCTTAATAATGATCCTAAACTGCTTCTCAAGGAACAAATCACTTATATTTTATATTTTCCATCCCTTAAGAAATAGAGTTAAATCTACCTGTTTTTATTATCCTAAATGAAAAAATAAGTAAAGCACTTTGTAATTTACAGTTTAAATGAAGACTATCATTTACCTTTATTTATAATCTGGAATATTCATTTTTTCCATGCAATAATTATTTCATTTTTATAAGTAAAGGTCTCTAACGATTCAGGAATTTCCTTGTAAGTAGAGACACATGATGTACTTATGTCCTTTCTGCTTAGAATCCTAGCTAGATCTATTCAATATATATTACTGATTGGTTGACACCCTTGCAACTTGTAGGGAAGTAAAGCATAAAAGCATAAAAAGAAATAAAACTTCCCATCATATAAGGTTAAAAATATTATTTTAAAAATTGCTATTGTGATAGTTTTCCACAAACTATTCAGAGAAGGGCAAATTCACCTTCCTCAGATTCTACTAGAAGTCTGATCCTTTAGGTTAATGCATTCTGCTCAAGATTTAGATTCAGAACTAATGGAATAAAATTATCTATTTCAAGCATACTTTGGTTGATGCTTTATCAGTGATATGTCATTTAAATAAGCATTACCTTGAGAGATTTTGACTTAAGGGGAAAGTTTCACTGTAACTCTTAATTTTTTAGTAGTCAAATGTTTATATGTATCAGTTTTTCCTTGGTGGAGCTTTAATGTAATTCTCCTTTATGAGATGCTAAGCTCTCTGCATTCATGTACTCCCAAGGGAATATGGCTAATATAGATAAATCACATATGTAATGTTTGCATCCAGATGTAATTCATTTTTTTTGTCTTAATAAATGGACTTTTCTTTATCCATAGGCTTTCTTGCTACATCTGTGATCCTTACAGACTACAGAAAATACAGCGGCTTTAAGACACATGTAAAAAGCCAAAGATATTTTGTGATGCTCCATAAACACTGTACATCTGCTATTTATCTGGCATATTAATTTAATGAAAGCTACACAAGACCATAGACTTATAATGTATTTATGATGAAAGCAGTTTCATAAGTTACCATGTAATGTTAAACATTTTCAAAACACAAGCACACTCTTAACGGATGAAAAAGCTGTAGGGAGTATTCATTTTTGTAAGATCACACAGCGTTTCGTGTTTTCTTTTTTGAGATGTAGTTTCACTCTTGTCACCCAGGCTGGAGTGCCACGGTGTGAGTCGCAGCAACCTCCATCTCCTGGGTTCAAGCAGTTCTTCTGCTTCAGCCTCCCGAATAGCTGGGATTACAGGCGCACCACCATGAGCGGCAATTTTTTTTTCTTTTCTTTCTTTCTTTTTTTTTTTAACAGAACTCCTTGCTAATACCTCGTTATTCATTAATTAGTCTGTGAGTTTTGGTTCAACCCCTAACATTTGCAAATCACACAATTATCTCCGTTGTTTCACTTATGGAAGACAGTTTCATTTGTTACCCTGAGAATATGAGACATTCACAATCTAATTCCTGGCTACATTTGATTTCAAACAGATCGGAATAAGTTCCAGAATATAAAATATTAATTATTTGGTAGTCATCTTGCAGGTATTTTGTGGGTATGCTCTAATAAAGAAATGCTTCCTTTTCCGAGGAAAACTGCTGAGGTTGCAAGAGTGATTCCAAAACCACAATTCTTAAGAAAAAAAAAATAAAAAAAAAAAAAAAAAAACTTTTTGTAAAAAAAAAAAAAAAAAAAAAAAAAGAAATCACTCCTGCTGGTGTTTTATGTATAAATCTTTTTCTAACTTCCAGCTTTCTCAAATTAGGGCACCACAGTAAATAACGTAGGCACAGTGGCATTTTCTAGTATCATATCTGGAAATATCTTAAATGATACCTATGGCAGCATCTAGGGAAACTGAGGCCCAACAGTTGATGTGACTCGTGCAATGACACCAATTTGCTACCAGAGCCAAGATAAGCAGCAAGTTTGGTACTTTTCTACATCAGTCCTTTCTTGGTGCTGCAGAAGTCTTTTATTTACTAATTTAACCCTAGGGAAGGGTAGACCATCGCGGCATGGTAGAAGCGTTGATATTCGTTTTCTAAGGGATGATCACACACCTTTATCTATTTGCATTTAGTTTCTTTAAAAAGTAACAGCACCTCTATTTGGGAATACTTTTAGAAACAAAAGCAGAACATACGAACGTGCTTTTCATTGTTGATTTACACTGTGTGGTTATAACGTGCGCAACTTACTTTTAGTATTACTTTCGTCTCCTGCTGCAGAAAACTAGAGGTTCCCCTACCCGCAACTGCATTTCACACAACAGTACTTGTCTCTTCTCCTCCTTCACTCCTAATAAAAACACCTTATCCCGTTTCTTCCTGTCTGCTCTGCCTCGTCTCAGTATTCTTACTTATTAACTTCCACCACACTGACTTTTACTCAGATAGAAAAGCCACCCTCTCACCCTCTCTCTCTCACGCCACCTTTAGGAAGCTTCTTCCTTTTTCCGCCTCTCGCTCGGTTTTGTCCGCCTCTCGCTCCCTTTTGTCTCGCGCGGTTTCCGGAACACGGCCCGGAACTATAGCGAAAACACACTGCGTACCCGCCCACTACCTTCGCCGCTGTACGGCTTCTGTTTCATTGGCCAGTTCATTACAATTTCCGATTCGCGGCAGCTGCGCGGCAGCAACTCTCGCGACATTTGCCGCGGCCCGGCAAGCGCAAGCCACAGCAGGGTACTGGCGCGCCCATTCAGTTTTGCCTGCTGCCGGCGCCACTCTGTTTGTTACCCGGAACTGCCGGGCAGAGCAGCATGACGTCCGCCCTGGAAAACTACATCAACCGTATCCTGAAGGTGGCCGCCGCAGGCGTGAGCCGGGGCCACGGAGACACCGCCAGTCAGGATCGGTGGGAGGTTGGGAGGCCCGGCCGCGGCGGGATCTTGGGGGCGGGCGAGGGGATGAGACCCCGGAACGACCCATAGTTCGCTGGCGGCTGCTGGAGCCTGCAGCTGCTGCGGGCCCGGGGGTCCTTTCCTTTCCGCCTGCAAAAGCCGGATAGAAACCCAGTGTGATTATTCCGAACTTTTCTCTCTTAAAAAAAAATACGTCCTTGATTCTTCTTTACTATTTCCGTAGGACTTACGTGTTCAGGTTTGTAAATAAGATGAACAGTCGTCCGGGCGGCGACAGCAGTTTTAAAAAATCTTTGTCTTGTTTTATTCATATAATTTGCTCATTAGTTTGAGGATAGCAAAAAGTTTAACGATGGTTCACAGACCAGGTTTCTGTCCCTTTACCACTTGAAGTCTCAACTTCTTGGTAGAATGAAAATAATGTTTGCTGTTGTATTGGATTGTAGCGAGGAGTAAGTAACAAAAAACCACATGGGAAATCTTAAAATAGACTTTGCAAATGTTACCGTTTTAAAGTCTCAGGACAAAAACACGACATTATGCTCATGTACAAACTGGATGACAAGTTAAATACCGAATGCTTTTAATCATGTGGGCATTATTGGTACCTCGTGACACTGATTATATAGTTTTTTTTTTTTTTTAATTACAGAAGACTGTCCTGGAAGACAGTTTTTTAACATGCTTGAAAATAGTCCAACATCGATTAATTTAGTAGTCATCCAATTTTCATTTTAGAAATTACGAAATAGGCCTAAGAAACGAAATATCCTGACCAAAAATCAAAGACTGGCAACATTCCTGATAGAAAAGTGTCAAAAACCCAGGATATTTTGAGATAGGATGCACTGATCACGTACGTAAAGAGGTTTTCTTTTTCTATTTTTTCTCTTTAATCATGTAATTATCACAAAGATAAAACAGTAGCTTTTTAAGATTTTTTTTTTCTTTGAGTCGAGAATCTTGCTCTGTTGCCCAGCAACGGGGGCGGGCGGTGGGGGGGGTCTCACTGTGTTGCCCAATTTAGTCTCACCTCAAGTGATCTTCCTGCCTTGGCGTTCCAAAAACTTGTACCGTTTTTATGTAGTGAACATAGTGACTATGTTGATCACTTTTACCTAATTGTCGTATGTCTCCTAATAATTCAAATCATTACCTTGCCAGAGTCTGTTTTCAGATTGTATTCCCTAAGAAACCCTTTCCTTGATTGAGTTATCAGGAACTGTTGCTGTTATTACGTCTGATGGGAGAATGATTGTGGTAAGTCTTCGGAATTTTCATTCTCTGCTTTCCTGTACGTTTATTGGTTGCAGGTTTTATGTGAAACCTCTGATCCCTAATGCTTAGACACCACATTACACCTGTAGTGCAGTTTTATTATAATTTCACTCTTTATCACTTTGCCATCAATCCACATTTTCCTTAGTAATACATATTGTGTCTTACCTACAAGGCTTCCAGGAACTAGAATAATAGATTCTGCCCTCAGAGAGCTCCTAGTCTGCAGACCTGTATTAAACTTACTTATCTTCCTCTTCCATTTTTATTTCTTCCCCATTCAGTACTACATGAATCAGAATTTTTTGAAATTTTGCATATGCTTAGGAACTTTTTTGTGATTTAGATACTATTGATATCTACATATCAACGTTTAAGGCTTGTATGCAGTCTTAATATTTTTTGTTTTTAGGTTGTGTGACATGTCTTCTATAGGACACATGATGATTGACTCTATACTCAATTATCATGTTTAAAATTACATATGATTATTAAATAGCAAAAATACAAATATATATATATACACACATATAACTCTATACACACATATATATGTAAAATTGGCTTCTTCCTTAAAGTTGTTTCTCCCTTGCTAATTTATGTCCTATAACAAAGATAAAACGTTCCTGTGGCAATACTTGTATTTGGAATTTCATCTGAGGAATTTATCTTAAGATATTTGGGTACTTGCTTATTTCTTCACTTACAATTAATACTCTTAATTCATTTGAAAGAATTTTAAGGCTACTAAACTTTCTCTGTTTTCTAACCTTACCTAGTTTCTTAAATAATTTAATCCCATATTTTTCCATTCTGCAATTTTGTTTTTGTTCATTTTCTTTTTAAGCCTTGTGATTTTTTTTCCCCCAGTGGGTCCTTAGTGTCTGTCAATAGTCAAAGTTCTGGCTTTGCCATTTACTAAATTTATATCATGTGCCAGGTGCATATGTGCTACATTATTTAATGTACAGCACAACCTTGTGAAGAATAAGTACCCCTCTATTCTAGATTAGGAAACAAGCTCGGAGAAGGTGAGGCACTTTCCCAGAGTCACAAGGATAGCAGGTGACAGAACTGAACTGGGATTTAAATTTTGTTTGACATCAAAGCCAAGGCAGATTGCCTGGCTTCTTTCTTAAGGAAGCAATCATGTTTTCTTAGGTGCCTCACATTGTATTTTTTTCAAATATGGACAGTTTGACATATTATAATCTCAACACTTCAAGAAGCCTATTGCTATTAATAGATATTTTCAATTCTTTTAATTTTGTGAAAACCTTAAGTTTAAATTTTCTAATTTTTGTTAACAGAGCAGATAATAAACTGGGAAATCATTTTTAATTTTAAAAAAGGAAAGCAATATAAAAAGAGCATCTTAAGTTCTAAAGTTCAATAGTTCTTTATTTCTTTGACACAGTTTATTTGATGGGATAGTTATGTGTAAAATGCGCATGTGACCATAAGAGACACCACTCTGTGCCTCAGTTTCTTCTTTGAAATGGGGCTAATTATAGTATTAAATGGTAGAGATGAGTAGAGATAATATGTACAATGTGTTTAGCACACTACCTAGTGCTAGTATGTAGCATACAGTGATACTGTTACATTACTGTAGTTGGTATGTAAGATTCTTCCTTATTTGTATATAGTTACCTATCATTTTATTTTAAATCTCCTTTGTTTTAGTATATACCTTTGGCTGTTGGACTACATGAGCTTTTATGCTACTTACTTGGAAATACACTAGTACATAGGTATCCTTTGTAACTGTCATCAGCTCTGCAAATGAGTGAGATGTGTGGTGCAGGTCCCTCCACCCCAACCAAACAGCCAAGAGGTCAATTTTGTACCCTCGAATACTGTTGGTTATAAAAAAGGCATTTTATTTAACATTGTATAGGTACTTGTATTAGAGTACCTGATAACTAAAATGATTGTGAGGTTGAATTTACACTTTCAGGTAAACCAGAATATTTCTCTTTTTCTCCTGAATATTTTCTTTACAGGGAACACTAAAGGGTTTTGACCAGACCATTAATTTGATTTTGGATGAAAGCCATGAACGAGTATTCAGCTCTTCACAGGGAGTAGAGCAAGTAGTGCTAGGATTATACATTGTAAGAGGTGACAATGTGTAAGTAAAATATATCTGTTAAAATTATAAATGATACTCCCTTGCTTTATGGAAAAGAGGTTTTACCCAGAATAGTCTACTGTATTATCCATACATAGTTAATAGAATCTTGCATTCATTTCTTTTATAAATATGGCTTTTCTTATATTTGCGTAAAGTAAGGCAAATCTATACATTTTATGTCAGCATTTCTTCAGGTTTCAACCAAAGCTATCTCTTTACAAGTCAAGCATTTACCTGAGATTTGTCCATTTTTCTATGAGTTAACTAAGTAGCCTGGATAGAGTCCAGAAAGGGCCCTGCCTTATGTTAAATACTTCATTAAAGAGGTTTCTTAAAATGTTCTTTAAAATACCCAGAATTTTAGAGGAATATATTTCTAGAGTCCAAGGCAAAAGTTTGAAAAATGTTTATGAAATCTCTCATTTGAACAATATTAATTCATGCTCAGTCATGTAGGTGTATTTATAAACAAGTACTTACCCATTATTCATTTTCTTTTAATTTTTTAGTATACTTGACACACTTAAGATGTCTCCTTGGCCTCAGTTTACTTGGGACAGGCAGTTATAAAAGTTTAAGAGTAGTTGGCTGGGCGTGGTAGCTCATGTCTGTAATCCCAGCACTTTGGGAGGACAAAGCAGGCAAATCACCTGAGGTCAGGAGTTTGACTTGACCAGCCTGGCCAACATGGTGAAACCCCGTCTCTAGTAAAAATATAAAAATTAGCCAGGCCTGGTGGTGTGCACCTGTACTCCCAGCTGCTCAGAAGGCTGAGGTGGCAGAATCACTTGAACCCGGGAGGTGGAGGTTGCAGTGAGCCGAGACTGTACCACTGCACTCCAACCTGGGTGACAGGGTGAGACGTTCTCTCAAAAAGAAAAAAAATGCTGAGTTTGGTGACTCATGCTTGTAATCCCAGCAGTTTGGGAGGCTGAGGCGGGTGGATCACTTGAGGTCAGGAGTTTGAGACTAGCCTGGGCAACATGTCTCTACTAAAAATACAAAAATTAGCCAGGCGTGGTGGCGCAAGCCTGTAATCCCAGCTACTTTGGAGGCTGAGGCAGAAGAATCGCTAGGACCCAGCAGGCAGAGGTTGTAGTGAGCCAAGACTGCACCACTCCATTCCAGCTTGGGCAGCAGAGCAACACTCCTCAAAAAAAAAAAAAAAGTTTAAGAGTAATTTAAAGGTAGCGATTTAAGAAAAGCCTGTAACAGTATAGAGCACTGTTGTCCAAAAGAACTTTTTATGATTATGGAAATGTCATATATCTGCATTTTCCAGTACAGTAGTCCTAGCCATGTATGGGTGTTGAATATTTGAAAAGTGGCAGATGTGGGCCAGGTGCAGTGGCTCACGCCTGTAATCCCAGCACTTTGAGAGGCCGAGGCGGGAAGATCACCTCAGGTCAGAAGTTTGAGACCAGCCTGGCCTATATGGTGAAACCCTGTTTCTACTAAAAATACAAAAATTAGCCGAGCATGGTGGTGATGCCTGTAATCCCAGCTACTCGGGAGGCTGAGGCAGGAGGATCGCGTGAACCCAGAATATGGAGATTGCAGTGAGCCAAGGTTGCGCTTTTGCACCCCAGCCTGGGCAAAAAAAAAAACAAAACCCCATCTCAGCAGGGGAAAAAAAAGAAAAGTGACTGATGTGACAGAGGAACTGATTTTAAATTAAATTTAATTGTAAATAATTTTTTTTTGAGACATAGTTTTGCTCTTGTTGCCCAGGCTGGAGTGCAGTGCCACAATCTTGGCTCACTCCAGCTGCCAATTCCTGGGTTCAAGTGATTCTCCTGCCTCAGCCTCCTGAATAGCTAGGATTACAGGCACAGGCCACCATGCCTGGCTAAGTTTTTTGTATTTTTAGTAGAGATGGGGTTTCACCATGTTGGTCAGGCTGGTCTTAAACTAACCTCATGATCCACCTGCTTTGGCCTCCCAAAGTGCTGGGATTATAGGCATAAGCCACTGTGTCTGGCTTTACTTGTAATAGGTACATGTGGCCAATATTAGTATGGTTATAGAGGGTAGAAGAACACGGGATGAATTTTCTAGTGAGTACTACATTGAATCAAAATATGGTTGTAAAGAAGCAAAAGATACATTAGCAATTTTAAGCTAGGATACATTAAGCAAATTTAAGGCTATTCTAGGGGACAGAGAAGTCCCCTACAATAACTTAAATAAAATAAAGAGTGAAGGAATAATTTACTCATTTAAGTTGCTTATGTTAACATCACCTTTAGGTGAATAAATATTTTGATCTGTAATTAAAATCAAGAGTTATTAAAATATTTTATAGAGATGACTTGGGTGAAGTTACAAGGTGAGCTGTAAGTAATGAGAGAGAGGCAGGGCAGATAGGGCCCCCATCTATGGATCAGAACAACATTGTTTATATTGGGGCTGTGCACTAATTGATTTTAAGGTTTCTCTTACGTAAAACAATTTTTTTTTTCCTGAACTTCAGTGAAAATGGTGTGCTGGAGCCAGCTTGTACTGTCTTATGAAAGCAGATTGTTATATTTTAAGGAATTTTTCAAGCTAGTTGATTGATGTCTTGTTAGTAGCTCGAAATTGGCCAGGTGGGAGTGTTTGTACAATATTAGTAAATGCTGCAAATCAGGCTCCTGCAGAGAACTAGTTTTTAAACATTTGTTATCATTCCACTGCTTACCATAGGGATTTTAAGTGATACTCAATATTTAAGAGTGGAATTGAGACCTTTAGTTTGAGAAAACTTAATTTATTCTGCTAGAGTTGGTATTTTTCATTTGTTAGAGAAGACTTTATGTAGTTTAAAGCAAAATTGGGCAAATTTCTTATTACAAGTATTCGTCTTTAGAATTTGACCACGCACAGTGGCTCAGTCCCAGCACTTTGGGAGGCCAAGCTTGGTGGCGTACCGGAGGCCAGGAGTTCGAGACCAGCCTACCCAAAATGGTGAAACCCTGTCTCTACTAAAATACAAAAAATTAGCTGGGTGTGGTGGTACGCCCCTGTAAACCCAGCTACCCCAGCTACTCAGTAGGCTTAAGCATTAGAATCCCTTAAACCTGAGAGGCAGAGGTTTGAGTGAGCTGAGATGGCGGCACTGTACTCTAGCCTGTGTGTCAAGAGCAAAACTCTTATCTCAAAAAAAAAAAGAACTTACTCTTATTAAAACCAAACAAATGTAAACCCAACAAATGCTTTTTTAAAAATAATATTTCATAGACATCTTGTTGTATGATAACATTGAATATTTCCATTTAGAGCACCATGAGTTGGTTATTTAGCATGGTATTAATGAATTTCATGTTATAGATATTATGTTAGTGTTGAACAAGGAAAAAATTTCTAGCTTTAACCTAGCCAGCCACTTAAAAAGTGATTTGTTAAGTACTAAAGTACTTGTTCCTACTATTGTTTTTATACATGAAGAACGGTACATTTTGGCTTTGGATTTAATTAAAAACTTATGAAAATAACCTAATATATATCATTGGTTATCATTGGTTTAATTCATCAGAAGTTACTCAAATAATAGATACTTTTACTTGCTAATTATTATTTTTTTTTTTACTATAGTCCTAGAATTGAATTGAAATCATATGATTTGGAAGTTTGAGGGTTTTGTACTGTATCTATCCCTGTGTGTCTTTTTCCTTTAAAGATTCATGATCCAATCACTATGTACAACATGTCCTTTAATATTGGTTCCTGTAATAATGTTCCTTTAAATTATTTCTTGAATTTTGTGACTTAAATGTGCAGTTCACTGACTCATGCCGATGTTGTTTGCTTTGTACCTTAATTAGTGGTACTCAGTGCTTTGATTAGTAAGATTTTTGAAACGCATGTAAATTTATTTCAGAAATGTGATTGTTTTAACTCTGACTTTTTTAGTGCAGTCATTGGAGAAATTGATGAAGAAACAGATTCTGCACTTGATTTGGGGAATATTCGAGCAGAGCCTTTAAATTCTGTAGCACACTGAGGAAAAACTACATACTTGGACATCTATAAATCTTTGTACAGAAACTGATTCTTCTGAGAATGATGTATGGAATTTTTATGAATGTGTAACTGGATTTTGACTCCTTATCGATTTATTATAATATGTAAATTAAAATATTTCTGAATTTTATTGAAAAAAAAATTTTTGCCTAAATCATAAGTTTGGTAGTTTGGTTTCTTTTATTAAATAGTGTGAAAATATAATGGTCATTTTGAAAACTTTTAGAAAAAAGTAGTACTTTTTGATATTTTAGTATTTATAGAAACTACTGGAAAAGAGAAATTTTTGTGCTACGTAAATCAGGCATTCAAATAGCAGTAGTAGTACAGGATATATGTGTTTTCTTTCCCTGATATTTAGGAAAGTCACCATAAGGTAAATCTTTTCAGGAGTTATTTCAACCAACAACATTTATCTGATTCCACTGGTGGTGGTTTGCTAGTGCTTCTAAAAGTTGCTCCCTAGCACTGAGGTTGGGTACGTACAAATGTGTTTGCTTGAGAAAAGCTAAAATGCTAACAAGGTTTTAATAGTTGGGCCAAAATTCGAACTTGAATATTATGACCAGGAATAGTAGAATTGACAGAGATGATTGGTAAATTCTCTTGATACCCAATTGGTTAGGTATGAAAGTACTATGAACACATTAATGTTGAATTTTATGGACAGTATATTATCTGAATAAAATTGATTCTTTGTAGTCTTAAATTTTTAATTTTTTAAGAATTGGAGAATTTCTAGTATTAGAGTTATTTATAAATGTGAGTAAATAAACTCAAGTTTATATTGAAGTAGTGATAGTCATTGTCAGAAATTTTTCATGATTCATTAGTTCCATAAACCTGATTTTATGTAAATGTGACTTAAATGTGTAGTTTAAAATATCCTCACTCAAAATCAGCCTTGTAAAGGGAGAAGCACTATCCCTAGAATTACTTGGTTGATGAAGTTAGCTAATACTGACTATTTATAAATACTTGGCATTTGTAGTATAATGTTTTATAATCAATTTAGTAATGAAATGATGCAAGGTGGGTAAGGCAAACAGGCAAATTTAAGTAGGGACTGTGAATGAAATATTTTATTTTAGTATATGGCATTTTTAATTGGTAAAATAATTCCAAAAATCAAATAAGAATACACATCAATCAGTTGCCAAGAAAAAATGCATTCTAACAGTACAAATGAAGTCCAGAGTCAGATCTTTTCTCAAAATACTTGACATATCAAGACAAATTACACATAAACAAGTAAATAAAAACCAGTCTTGTCCCTCGTGATAATGGGTTTCTAATGTGACGTATTCTTGAAATCTGAAACACTTTATAAAGCTGTGTTTTCCTGTTGATGTTGGAAAAAGCAGTCCCAAAATGTGAAGTACTGTTTTCATGAATAGCTGTGAAGGATGTGAATGGTAATAGGCCAGATGATCTATGTAATTCTTTTTTCCTGGTTACATGTACTTGGTAGACTTTTTATGCTCACAGCCAATTTATATTGGATTTATTTTTGCCTGAGAATTGTAGGGGAGCCACAACCATGAGTAGTAACATAATTAATATACAGTGACAAGATTTTATATTTAATGCAACATTTATTCTATAATCAGTTCTTATTTATAAAGAGGCTCAAATCAATTTCAACCTGTAATTACCTCTGTGCTTTGTGACTGGAACACAATCTAAACCCAGCTTAATGAATCAAAGAGATGTTTCTTGGCAAGATATTTTCATTAAAGTTATTTGGAAAGGGCAATTAACTGCAAAAAGGACTTTTTATTTTTCTTTTTAACCACAAGATACTATCTAAAATAAAGCTCTTTGATAACTTGGTGTCACATGCTGACAGTTTGGGCTTAAATATTACAAATCTTGATCACAGAAGAGGAAGAGAGAAAGTTTTACTAATATTTGCTTAAATATCCTGTGTAATACCTTTATAACATCCTTCTGAATTTTTAAGCTAATAATGTAAGATAAGTATGATAAAAACAATTTTTAAATGGTATTTAATGCAAATACAGAATAACAGTGTTAACATTTTTCTCAGCCATGTAAACCTAGTATTCATCATGTGAATGAGAAAGTAAGGTAACTTTATATGGCATGTGAACCAGACTGTTTAATAGCCAGGATTGTAAAGCAACACTTAACACTTTTTCTGGGCCTTCATCTTCAAAATTAGTAAGTAGTATTTATTGAGTGTATATCATGTGCCAGGCCTGATGCTGAGTGCTTACAATAACCATTTTTTATATGGGAAAATTGAGGCTCAGCAGGATCAAACACTACAGTATATTCTGGGCCTTCATCTTCAAAATCGGTAAGTAGCATTTATTGAGTGCATGTCATGTGCCAGGCCTGATGCTGAGTGCTTACAATAACCATTTTTTATATGGGAAAATTGAGGCTCAGCAGGGTCAAGTACCTTATAAGAGGTAGCACTAGTAAGTAACAGGACTCAAATTCAACTAGGTCTTTCAACTCTTTATACAATACTGCCTGTTACCAGAAAGTATAGTCTTAAAATCTGTCAAGCATCCATCAGAAGCCTGACGATAGATGATCTAATGCAGTTCCCAAAGCCACATTGTAGGCCATTTTCATTATAATTACCTGAGGTGCCTTAATAATATTCTTGGGCCCTACTCATTGATGTGGTTCAGCAGCTCTGTAATGAAGCAAAAAGGAATAGTCACTAAACAGCGAAGGAAAGCATGGAATTATTAAAAGACCTAACAATTATATGCTGGGATGAGTCTCTAACCCCACAGAATTGAATTCAAACAGAATCTTATTCAAGATAAGGATGATAACATCTATCTTCCTGAGTTGCAAAAAGTAACATTAGACTTCATTTTTGACACTCGGTATGATTTTAAGGACATAATGGTAAATAGCTTTTTAATACTATTCTAAGTATTCAAAGGCCATTGTATAAAAGTTAAAATATAGGTCTTGTCAGCTTAGCTTTTTAAGAGTGTCCCACTGACTACCATATCTCTACAAGAGAAGGGATATATAAGTTATGAAGAGTTCAGGTTATGTGGAAAGTATAAGTTTACACTATTTTAACAAATGTATAATAAAATTTGTTTCTATGTCATCTTACACTCTTGATTCAAGGAGTTTGAAAGTGTAAACCTAGATCTTTCACATGCAAAGAGGAACCTCTCCATTCTGTACTTGTATAGTCACTACCTTATTTCATAGATTTACTTATTTTAAATTTAGTTTTACTTATTTTGGGACTAAAATAAGCTTGGGCTGTGAATCTCAGTTTTAAGTCATGAGCAAATTTGATAAAAATTGCTTTCTGTCTTCAAGTAATACTGAAAAAAATGTTGACAAGGTAAAGCTACCTCCATTTAGATTGATACTTATTAAATAGCATAGTGCTCTCATTAAACCTGTGACAAATATGTTTAATTATAAGATGCTAGTACTTATGCTCCATCCTGTTTATAGGGATTATTGATGTAAAATTTGATCAGATGCTTTGATGTAATCTTCATTCCTCTGTATAGCAGGAAACTATGAGACGTGGGGTTAGTCTTTGTGAATCATTGCTGCCTTCTAGTGACCATTGCTTTCTTTTCTACATGTCCACATACTTCAAAAAAACAGATTTTGGAATTTTGTCAGGGACATTTATCAAGCTGTTAATACCCACCAGGCACTGTGCTCAAAACTGTGGATAAGCCAGGGAATGGTATTCTTGTCCTTGTGACGTGTGTGTCTGTATCTACCTCAACCAAATCATTTTGACCCAGATTTACTGTCCAAGGGGATGTGTTACTTCATCAGATTCTTTCAGTATTCTAGGATATTATTTATGGGTTCTGGATTCATTCAAAACAACTAGAAATGGTCTTCTTAAAATGAATGTAATTCATATCAATCATTTTCCCCATCTTTTTTTGTTTGTTTTAAGATTGCTAAGTGTGTAAGTTGCATAATTCTAAGGATAAAGGCAAAATAGCACTTCACCAGCAGAGTTCTCTTTCCTTAGTTAACAGTATGCCATCTGCTTCCTAGTGGCATCATTTGGGGAATGAAGGAGCTGAGAATCATTCTTACATGGTATCTTTCAGGCCTCTTGGTTTTGACATTAATTTTTTTTTAATCCAGTTATTGTGTTAGTTTTTTGTTATGCCTTTTTACTTCCTTATTTTTTTATATTTCTTTTTTTTAAGTCCTTTTATTTTACAGATTATTACTTGTCAGAAGTGGCACAGATCAAGCATTGCTACAACAAAGTCCCATCACTGTCCCTTCAATGATATGATAGTCCTTCTCTCTTCTCTTTAGGGTAATGTTCAGTTATACTGTAAACATTTTGCTTTTATGTTTTTTTTCTTTTCCACATGTACTAGCTTTACAAATGCCATATTAGAATGGTACCAAATTGTTATTACATTTGAAAGAAGAAGAATCCGGGAGTCAGGATGGGTGGGAGACATCTCCAGGGGACACAATACATTGTGTCATGTATTAAAAACTGGTGTGTGTTGGGGTGGGGAACAGGCAAGAAACTAATGTATTTCTGTTTGATATATTAAAATATGCATAAGCTATCTTATGTTTCATCTGATGTGCCTTATCAAGAAAATGATTATAATAAATCATACTCTAGAAAACTCATTAACTGATACAAGTTGCCAGAAAATTCTGTATTGTGGCTTATATAACATTTAAAAATAAATGACCTGGAAGTCATCACAATGATAGTTAAAAGTTATTTTTTTTTTAATTTTAAAATTAAAAATTTTATTTGTAAAAGTATTTAGCTCTCTCAATCTGACTTGGATAAGATTTATTGTAATTGTGCTTCTGCCAATTACGAGACAATTCAATTCACACTAACAGGAGGTATGAGTTTTAAAAGGAAATTGTAAATTAGAGTCTTGGGCTAATCCAGTACAGCATAGCAATGAAAGGCACAGGCTCCAGACTTAGTTTGTAGAGTTTAGCATATTAATCTTCTCATGTCTTGGTATGAAAATGAGTACCTGCCTCCTTGTACTGCCAAGATTAAAATAAGCAGTTAGCATTCCCTAGAACATTAATTTGTCATCGCTAATTATAGCTAAGAATTATCCTGATATTGAATGATGGACTCCAGATTATTTATTTTGGCCTAAGGAAAGTACTAAGAAGTAATTAATAGCATTCCCTGATAATTTTGGTGAAAAAAAAACTGAAAATTTTGGACAGACCTAGAAATTTATTGGAAACGAAAGTATGTTTCCCTTGTGCAAAGGTAATGTTTTTATCACACTGTTTAAAATTTGATCAATTAAAAAAAAATAACACGAGGCAAAGAAAGTACAGAAAGGAGCAACCAAAGTCAAAGTGATTAAATTATAAAAAGATTAGATTTCTTTAGTGTGAAAAGATAAATGGGAAATGGGAATATGCCAGAGATCTGAAATGAAGAATGGGTAAGAGCTTGCATATTTAATTTTGTATATTAAAACCAAATATTCTATGAAGATTGGAAGGATAATTTAGGTCAAATAAAATTCTACATTAAAGAAAGAAGAATAAACCTTAGCAACTCATTAGTAATCCTTCATTTCCTGAGTATTTACTTCATGACAACAATAACAGAGATGACATGCCCAGTAAAGTAGTGTTTGAAGGCAATATGTAAAAGTGTCCCATGCATGGCAAGGATGCAAATGCTTCTATGCATAGTGATGTGGGAGAGCTTGGAGGAGAATCTTCATGGAAATGGATGACTTGTGCTGGATCTTAAGGATAGTATGGATTTCCAAAGATGGTTGGGAAAACTTCAAATTGGCAGACAGGAAGGCATGAATGAGTAAGACGTGGTTGAATAATGAGTAGGCTGACCTCTCCGTACAGTAAACACTCAAATCCTTTATATTCCAAACAAAGGACCTGTCCACCAGTTCCTGGAAGAAAACCTCTTGAGTCCTTGGGATATCTTACCTTTGAAGAGTGCTTTTGTATGCCTTAGACCATGGGCTGTGTTGTCACCAGTTTAAGCTCTGGGAAACTGGAGATTCAGTAGCTAAGGTCAGTTATGAGGGAGTTGAATATTTATGTGACTGAACCCTGAACCCTATCTCTTGTTAGCAATACTTTGCATATGTTGGCAGACACTGTTGCGGAATTAGGTGCTGTCTGTGCAGCTCCACTAGGAGAGGAAGTTTGTGCTTCATTTCTCCTGATTGTCACCTTGCACCTTTTCCATTTACAGATTTTAATCTGTATCCTTTTACTAGAATAAACTATAACTGGGAACATAGCAACTTTTCTGAGTCTTATGATTCCAAATGTATCATCGAACCTCAGGATGATCTTGGGGACCCCCGACTCAATACATTTTTCATAGAAAATTAATGAGAAAAGAAGGGAAAGGATGGCCTTCATTACTAGTGTAAAGTTAATATTTTATTCTTAGAGCAGCAAGTTGTTTTTATGGGATTAAAAATGTAAGTTGTGTTAAAAGAACATTAATTTGGATGCTTTGAACAAAACTGGTAGCCTGAAGGAGAAACAGGCAGATTATTTCAAGATAGGAAGCTATTGCAGTGATTAAACTGAAATGATACATTTTCAGGTCAGATTTTCATGCATGATAAAGGCTGGAAGTATAGATTTCAAAAGATATATATACATTTATGGAAAGGAAATTTTTAAATGGTGATTCTAATCTTTAAGGTTCATGCCAAGGAAGGAAAACAACTAATTTTGCAACAACCTGTTCAACAATGAGAGGCACAAAATGCCAGACACTGCTAAGTGCTGGGAACTTAGATCTAACCAAAGACTTACAAGATAATAGTCTTTAAGACAGGCTTTAAGAAATTCAAGTGTAGGGTAAGGCCACCTCCTCAGCAAGTAAATACTGACATAGTGAAGATACGTATTGGGTGATACGAGAGCATATAGGAGAGACAGCTAGAGAGAGTTTAATAGCAACACTAGGCTGGACTGAGTGGTGAATGGGTTGATAGAGCAATTTAATTATAATAATTGTGTTATTGTCAATGTAGGCATTTTGCTCATAACTTCGGGCAAGTGAGAAGGGACAAAGCTTAACAAAGGACTGGATATTTTAGCTTGACAGCAGTATCTAAATTACAGATTAGAAAACGAATGACCAGCCATACCGAAGACAATTATCTGGAAATGCCTTCCCTAAGTGCCAACAGATAAGTAAGGAAAATATAATCAATAGCTTTAAGTGACCCCATGGATCTTAATGCCTTTCAGGCAACATGTTTTTCTGACTTCCAAGCATAAACAGTCTAAGCATTGTGCAGTAGCCATGAAGGATTAGGTATCCAAGTGCACATTATATTAGTTTTGTACAGTCATTGGAGGGAGAAATAGTTTCAGAATCATGAAATGAATCATAAGTAGCTGCTCTGGTGCTCTCTAGAAGCAGAACTTTCTAAACCTGAAGACTATTAATGGTGCAGCTCTCAATGGTACAAGTGAAAAACCTCTCAGCACTACATAGCGTCTTTGAGAAAGCTTTAATTTTGTTTTTTCAGAGCAGTATTCACATGACATCTTTAGGGTCTGTAATCTTACTACCATTAGGTTAGAACTCTACCCAAACTAAAAATAAGTGGCCTCTATCAAGTTGAAATTACTTTAATATTTTCGTTTATGTTTATACTGCTTATTTAAATACAGAGAACATGGCTAATCATTCAGGACCATTTAATTATCAAATTATTAATGATTCTTACATAATTAAACTGTCATATTTGTTAACTTATATTTCATTCTGTGGAATTCAAATTTAATTGATAAAGCACAATGTACTTTATAGTAGTTTATTCCTTAAGTGTTTGAGTTTACGCTTTTTTTCTCCTGTAACAGACTCTATTCCCAAGGCAATCAACATTTTAATGGAACAAACTGAGTATTGGAATTGCTAATGTTATTTTCCCATCCTAGTTTCTACTTGTTTCTTATAATAAAGGAGGTTTCCAAATCTTGACTTTTGATTGGCAATTAATGGGCAAAATTTCCCCTTAGCAAACACTTTTCACATGTACGCTAGTATTAGTATCTAAATTTCATTAAAATATCTGTAATTTGGTAGCAATTGACTTTAAATTCATGATGCCTCAACTTGGGCTAGGTTGTAGTTTTGCTCTGTATCACTCATAAAGAGTTACTGAAAATGCAGAGGGCAAATTTGATATAAGGATAAGAATAAACCTTTAATGAACTTTTAATATGCAGTACTTAATTGTAACTAACCATTACCTTTACTGAATCAGAAGATGTTTCATTAACTGTTAGCAGTTATTTCGAGTTATTTATATATCACAGAACTTTGAAAGGTAAAGATCATCTAGCTGAATTTCCTTTATATTAAAGAAGAGGAGAAAAAGCTTAATACTAAGTATGTGCAAGCCTGGAGCTGCCATGGGGCATGTAGACAGAGTCTCCTGGGTGATACCAACTCAGGAAAGCAGAATCAAGCAATAAAGAAACATTTTGGGCCTGATAACATCATTTCAGTACCTGGATCCAGCAACGCCTGAAGATGTGACTCCAAGACTTTTAACTTACATGAGCCAAAAAGGTTCTTTTGCATAAATAAATGGCTCTGTGACATATTTTATAATGTACAGCCAAGAATCTTAATATTTATTATTTTACATTAAATATCAATAAGTTCTATATGAAAATCTCAGTAAAATTCATTAATTTGAGAATGTGTCTATATTATAGTTAAGTTTTAAACCTAAACTCTGTATAATTCTTATTTGAAATATAAAATTACTGGTCATTTTCATGTATACCTTTGTGGTAACACCTTAACTTTTTCCCTGTAAGGGCACCTTTTGTGTGTTTCTGTTTCCATCAAGCAGCCTTTGAACGCAAATTTATCTTCTGGGTTTCCCTATTCATAATTAAGAGTTTGGCCCTAGTTCACAAGTAATCTTTTAGCACAAATTTTATAAACAAATGCCCTGTGAATCTGCATGGCATAAATCAAGTCTCTAGATCCTGATCACTTCTATGTGGATTGGTAACATTCTGGTTTTGGACTTACAACACCAGGAACAGACTCCCTAAACACAGAGGAAGCAGTAATTTAGGACAGCTTAAATATTCTGGCTGACTGCCTCATCAATTCTCTTTAATAACAGAATTCTGGGGATGTGTTGAAATATATACATTGGTAGTTTTTTTGGTTTTGTTTTTGCTTGTCTCACACAATGCTAATGAAGAATTCTGAAATTTGTTTAGGGTACAAGTTTTACAATTAAGAAAATATGCATATTGATTCTAAACAAGGGTTAGAATCTCAGATTTATTTGATCTTTTGTAAAATAAAACGCTAATGACTATACTGGGGTAGGTTAAATAAGTAGGCTCAAATGAGACAGACTATTTATTTATTTAAAGAGAAATGGGAAACTCTTTACTAGTAATAATTATAGGTCTATGTGCATATATATGTAGCACAAAGGTGTCCACAAGTCTGGACAGAATTCCAAAAAATTTTAAGCAATAAGGTAGAAGAAAGAACAATTGAACCTTCTCTCAATTTATCAAGAGACAAATAGATGCACCTTGGGATAGTCTCTTGTACACCCCTAGAGAGTTCATTTTGGAGGAATGTAATTATTCCTCTAAAGGCCAGAAGGTCCATACATTGCATTGCAAAATCAAAAGGTCAGGCTTCCTATTGGACCTATTATGTTTTCAAAGAGACACCCTAAAGAGGAAGGTAGGCAGCCTTTCTCCTCAAAGAAAATTTCACCATTTTACCTTTACAATTTTCCCATTTTGTTACTAGTTTATAATAATATAATTTTCTAAATATTGCTATTTGCCATATCTGTTTTTCTTTGGGCAATAGCAAAATACAAAGCAAAGCGATTATCAAAATTACAATAGGATGAATTAAGAAATTAAATAATATGAATAGCAAAGCAATCTATTTGTGTAGTAGCAAGCTCATTAGAATACCACTTTTTCTTAGGATGGTGCAAAAGTAATTGCAGTTTTGGACCATGAATTTTACATCATTATAACTAGGTTCAAACATCTTTATTAATCAAAATAGGAACCACTACATTCAACACATTTTTACCAATGAGAAATACATTTGTTTATTCCTGTAGCATAAAAATCCTTGCTTGGCAAACTCTTGGAAAGCATTTTCTGCATCCTGTTATTTGTGGAAACAATTTCCCTGCAAGAAGTTCTCCAGATGCTTGAAGAAGTGGTAGTTGGTTGGCAAGAGATCTGGTGAATACAGAGGTGAGGCCAAACTTCATAGCCCAGTTCGTTCAACTTTTAAAGCATTGGTTGTGTGACATTCAGTCGGGCTATGTCATGGAGAATTAAGCCCTTTCTGTTGAGGAATGCCAGCTACAGGTGCTGCAGTGTTCAGTGCATCTCATTGATTTGGTGAGCATTCTTTTCAGATGTGATGGTTTCACCAGGATTCAGAAAGCTGTAGTGGATCAGAATGGCAGCAGACCACCAAACAGTGACCATGATCTTTTTTTGGTGCAAATTTGGCTTTCGGAAGTGCTTTCGAGTTTCCTCTCAGCTCAAACACTGAGCTGGTCATCACCTGTTGTCATAAAATCCACTTTTCATCGCACATCACAATCCAATCAAAAAGTGGTTCACTGTTGTTGGATAGAATAAAAGTGATGGATTCACAGCCAAATTCTACCGGACATACAAAGAGGAGCTGGTGCCATTCATTCTGAAACTATTCCAAACAATCCAAAAAGAGGGAATCCTTCCCAAATTGTTTTATGAGACCAACATCATCCTGATACAAAAACCTGGCAGAAACTCAGCAAGAAAAGAAAACTTCAGGCCAATATCCATGATGAACATAGATGCAAAAATCTTCAATAAAATACTGGCAAACCCATTGCAACAGCACATCAAAAAGCTTATCCACCATGATCAAGTAGGCTTCATCCCGGGGATGCAAGGCTGGTTCAACATACGCAAGTCTATAAACGTAATTCACCACATAAACAGAACCAAAGACAAAAACCACGATTATCTTAATTGATGCAGAGAAGGCCTTTGACAAAATTCAACAGCCCTTTTATGCTAAAAATCCTCAATAAACTAGGTATTGATGGAATGTATCTCAAAATAATAAAAGCTATTTATGACAAACCAACAGCCAATATCATACTGAATGGGCAAAAACTGGAAGCATTCCCTTTGAAATCTGGCACTAGACAAGGATGCCTTCTCTCACCACTTCTATTCAATATAGTATTGGAATTTCTAGCCAGAGCAATCAAGCAAGAAAAAGAAATAAAGTGTATTAAAATAGGAAAGGAGGAAGTCAAATTGTCTCTATTTACAGACGACATGATTGCATATTTGGAAGACCCCATCGTCTCAGCCCCAAATCTCCTAAAACTGATAAGCAACTTCAGCAAAGTTTCAGGATACAAAATCAATGTGCAAAAATCACAAGCATTCCTATACACCAATAACAGACTTAGAGAGCCAAATCAAGAATGAACTGCCTTTCACAATTGCTACAAAGAGAATAAAATACCTAGGATCACAACTAACAAAAGAAGTAAAGGACCTCTTCAAGGAGAACTACAAACCACTGCTCAACAAAATAAGAGAGGACACAAACAGATGGAGAAAAATTCCATGCTCATGGTTAGGAAGAATCAATATTGTGAAAATGGCCATACTGCCCAAGTAATTTACAGATTCAATGCTATCCTCATCAAGCTACCAATGACCTTCTTCACAGAGCTGGAAAAAACCACCTTAAAATTCATATGGAACCAAAAGAGAGCCCACATAGCCAAGTCAATTCTAAGCAAGAAGAAAACTGGAGGCATCACACTACTGGACTTCAAACTATACTACAAGGCTACAGTAATCAAAACAGCATGATACTGGTACCGAAACAGAGATATGGACCGATGGAACAGAACAGAAGCTTCGGAGGTAACACCACACATCTACAACCATCTGATCTTTGACAAACCTGACAAAAACAAGCAATGGGGAAACGATTCCCTTTTTAATAAATGGTGTTGGGAAAACTGGCTAGTCATGTGCAGAAAGCAGAAACTGGACCCCTTCCTGACACTTTACACTAAAATTAACTCCAGATGGATTAAAGACTTAAGCATAAGACATAACACCATAAAAACCCTAGAAGAAAATCTAGGCAAAACCATTCAGGACATAGGCGTAGGCAAGGACTTCATGACCAAAACACCAAAAGCATTGGCAACAAAAGCCAAAATAGACAAATGGGTCCTAATCAAACTCCACAGCTTCTGCACAGCAAACGAAACAGTCATTAGAGTGAATTGGCAACCAACAGAATGGGAAAAAATTTTTGCAATCTACCCATCTGACAAAGGGCTGATATCCAGAATCTAAAAGAACTAAAACAGATTTACAAGAAAAAAAACAAAGAGGCCCATTCAAAAGTGGGTGAACGATATGAACAGACACTTCACAAAAGAAGACTTACATGAGGCCAACAAACATATGAAAAAATGCTCATCATCACTGGTCAATAGAGAAATGCAAATCAAAACTACATTGAGATACCGTCTCAAGCCAGTTAGAATGGTGATCACAAAAAAATCTGGAGACAACAGATGCTGGAGAGGATGGGGAGAAATAGGAACACTTTTACACTGTTGGTGCGAGTGTAAATTAGTTCAACCATTGTGGAAGACAGTGTGGCGATTCCTCAAGGACCTAGAAATAGAAATTCCATTTGACCCAGCAATCCCATTACTGGGTAAATATCCAAAGGATTATAAATCATTCTACTATAAGGACATATGCACACGAATGTTCATTGCAGCACTGTTTACAATAGCAAACACCTGGATCCAACCCAAATGCCCATTGATGATAGACTGGACAGGGAAAATGTGGCACATATACACCATGGAATACTATGCAGCCATCAAAAACGATGAGTTTGTGTCCTTTGTAGGG